TTATTGTTATTTTGTATTATAAAAAAATTATTAAAAGTAGTATATAAAATATGAATAATTATTAATTATTTAAAATGTTGAAAATATAAAACAATTGTATACTCTTATGTGTTTCTATTAGGGTCATTTACTAGAACACACCTTATAATTTTATATATTTACTTAAACATCCTTATAGTTTTCATTTAACTAAAACATCCCATATATTTTACAACTTATTTACTTAATCAACCTTTCATTAAGAAGTGTTTGTTTTTCCATTAGGCCCATGATTTTTATTCCAAAAATGTCTTTAACACTTTTTCTTGTATAGAAAACAAAATTAACCAAATATAGCCAATAGAGTGGTTGCTTGTGTCTTACTAACATTAAAAATGAAATATTATTTAAATATTTCAATAACTAAAAAAGTTAAATAACAAAACATTAAAATTAATATTTTAAATCAATTAATAATATATTTTAAATAGTTACTGAATAACTTTCAATTATAATAAATAGATTAAGATTTTAAATATTTAGTTAAATAACTAAATATTTTAAATAACAAAATATTTAACATAACTAGATTTTAAATAGTTAAAATAACAAAACTATGTATTAATAGTACTATAATTTTATGGATTATTAAATTCAACAAGTAATTAATATTTTAAATTCAAATAATGATATTATTTCAATAAATAAATAGTATTGTATATAACTAATTTCATTTATACCAATTGATAATTTTAGAAAATAACTTTCAAAAAAATTATTGTTTATTAATAATAATTTTAAAATTTTAATCTTTATTTATTATATATTTATCTATACTAAAATTAATATTTATTTTATTTCAGTGATTATTTATTGTTTTTTTGTGATAAATATGTTTTCAATAATTATGTATAAATTTATTTTTGTTTTGTTATTTAATAGAAAATTTTTAATAATTATTGGAGTTTAAACTATTGTTATGTAGCTTTTTAAATTTAATTTATTGTGTATTTTCACTATGAACTTTTAATAATTATTGGAGATTAAACTATTATTCACAGGTTGGTTCGTTTCAATTGTAGGTTGTTTGGCTAACCAAATCGACCTAATTAGGTTAGGGATTGGTCACTTAAGTTATATCGGTTTTGGTCAATTTTTGGTTTGGTCGGTCGGTTCAAAAGGTTTAAACTTAAAAAAATTAAATTTATGATATAAACTATTTTAGCCTAAGAAATATTAGAATTTTTCCACTTTCTTATATTAAAAAAATATATTTAAAATATAAAATATTAATATATATCTATTGTTGGGTCGTTCGATTTTAATCAGTTTACAAATGGCCAAAGCGAAACTGATCCAACCTAGTTGAGTTAGAAAATTGTTGAACCATACCTGACTAGAAATACTAGAAATCGGGTTGGTCAATTTGATTAGTTTGATTCAAAATGGCAATGGTGCGGGGCGGGGACGAGGAGCCTCTCCCCATCCCGTTCCTGCAAAAATCACTATCCACGTCCCCATCTCCATCCCCGCTAACAAGGACAAAGTTATCCCCATCCCTATCTCCACAATGATCCCCACTCCCCATGATTCTTTATAATGTTAACCATTATGTTTTTGTTTTTTATTTTATTTAAAAAATAAAAATAAAATAATTAAAAGTTACAATCATATCAGAAAAGATCCAAACATATTCAACCATATTTTTAAAAATACTTACATATAGACGTATATGTACATATATACATATATATTAGCAGGGATCGGGGTCCACGCGGGGTAGGGAGTGCTCTTCCCCTCTCCATCAATGGGAATGAAAATTTCCCCATCTCCTTCCCTATGGGGGGAAAATCATCCCCATCCCTGCCCCATTCGAGGTAGATCCCCACAGGGATAAGGGAAATGGGGAAAATTGCCATCCCTAAGTTTGATAAACAAACTTATCTAAAATTAATTATTGTTATTTTTGTATTGTAAAAAAAATATTAAAAGTAGTATATAAAATATAATTATTATATAAAACAATTGTTTGCAGGGATGTCAATGGGTCTGGTTAAATGGTAAACCCAACTTGACCTGACCCTGTAGGGTTGGGTTAGGGTCAAGTATATTTGGTTTAGGGTCGGGTTAGGGTTGGGTTAGAGTTAAATTAATTATCTAAAATTAATTATTGTTATTTTTGACCTGAGTCGGGTTCGGGTTGGGTTTGGGTTTTGGTTGATCTGCCCTGCCGGGTCATGATACCTTGCATATATACCAAGTATTTTTGCAATTTTTTTTACTTCTAACTTTATAGGCTTAAAGTTTATAATTTATTTATATGTTGATTTTGATTTTCTTCTTTTTTTTAAATGGAAAAAATAACACTTTAGAATCTATAAAACAATTTCCTTATTTAAATTAAAGTATTTTGGGTCTTCAAAATGTGTTAAAAAATACATTTAAAACTATGCAAGTTAAGTCGGGTCGGATCCAGATCCGAGTTAAACCCAATAGGTCGGGTCAGGTTCGGGAATCATGCATTTTTAAGCCAGGTCAGATCGGGTTCAGGTCCCATCCTATTTTTCATGTCTACATCATATGGCTTATATAACAAACTAACCCACTAAGCTAAAATACAATATCTCAATCAATTATTGACAAGGTAAACTAGTACAAACATTTTAATTGAAATTCTGCAAGAACTAGCTAGAAATCTAAGTGATAATGAAAACAAATCCAGTTCCAACGAAAATAGTCAATAGCTTGAGTTCTCCAAAACATACCTCAAATTCAACCAGCTCATTCAGTGTTGATCCTTTGCTTTCTTTTGACTCAACCTTTTTATCTTTCTTGCAATGGGGCAAGAGTGAAACCACATTCAATATCAAATGTCAGTACCTATAAATCACTAAACCCTCTCCCGTCAATAGAAATAACAAGTAAGTAATCCCTACAAAAATCAATAGCTAGTGACGAACTTACCTGTAAACAATGCGTCGGGAACACGTACCAAGTACCTTCTCCCTGTTCCTGACACTAGAGAATCACTCTCTTTCTCCTCAAATTCATCTTTCCACCCCAAGAGTGTCTGTTTAGATCTCTGGGGAGCAGTTTCTGAAGCCTCTGCCTCACTGTGTTTTCGATTTTTTGCCATTGTTTTCGGGTCTTAGGAAGTGCACAAAGCAAAAACTATAGCCTAGGTCAGTAACTATGAGAAGGAGAGGAAACCGGCCAGCGGAGTTGGAGGGAGAGGGATGCGGTGAACAGAGTCCACCGGCGAGAAGAAGAAGAAAGAGAGAAAAATGAAGAGAGAGATTATCTGACTTGTCGACTGGGGCGGTAATGTATTGGTTGGCGGTGGAGCTGGTGGCACTTCTGATGGTGTTAGGTTAGGTTTGAACGAACATGAGAGGAGAGATCGGTGGAAGAGGTTTTTTTTTCTTTGGAAACGTTTTTTATCCCAAATTTTAAAACACAACAATTTAGTATTCGAATTTTCAAAACATAATATTGTTAATTCAGTACTGCCAATTTAGTATATATTGTTAAATAGATGTTAAGTGCAAAAAGCCCTTAGGCCTTTTCTATTCAAGAAAGCTGGGGCACGTTGCCTTTTAAGATTTAGGACTGTTCTACTAAATTGGAAAATGTCACATTTTAAAAATCGAGAACCAAAGTCACCTTTCATTCGATTAGACCTAAGGGTCTGTTTGGCCCAATTTAATGTTTTTATTGTCTTTTTGCACTAAAAGTGAAATGCAAAAAACCAGCCGGTTATACAAAACCGAGACCAGTTATCCGGTTCTCCGATTGAACCGGTGATGAATAGTTGTTATTTTCGGTTTTTTAGATACTAGTTTTGGGGTATATCCGGATCAGCCAGAGGCCATGTCACGGTTCAACCAACCAGTCCGATTCGATTTTCAAGACATTGGTTTGGACTTGTCGAGGCATTTGACTCAGATAGCCGGGTGCAAATGAAAGCGTGTCAACGCGTTAATGAATGGCCGGTTCAGACTTCAAACTAGCCAGACCGGAAGATCGGCCTAACCGTGTCATTACTCGTTAGGAAACCCCTAGGCCCTGGCGGCCATAGATTCAGGGCTAATATGTGAGACGAGACGACAAATCATTTCTATTTCTAATAAAGCAAAAACTTAATTGTTAATTTGTAGGTCAAGGGACCCTACAACGGGGAGAAGAGATGGAAGAGTGTCCTTGGCATCAGAAGCATTGACAAATCTACCACCTCCTTTCGCAACCATTAGCGACCTCCAGACAAGGTTCATGGCAAAGGGTCTAAGTGTTAAAGACCTCGTCGTCCTTTCTATCATTTCCTGCGTTGCCTATTTCTGCATCATCACCTCATTATCCAAGTTAAGCTATCAATATTAAAAGGTAAAAGAAAATCATTTAATTTCTATGAATTCATCCCAAGTCGAAAAACCTTCTACCTCCCTCCTCCCTCCAATCATCCCCATTCACTTGCCTTTTAATTTCCATCTCCGAAAATGACTTTTATGTATTCATCCAAGCATCAAGAAAAATAAAATCAATTTTCCAAACTGCTTTTATTTTTCCACTACTTAACCAATAAATTAATCTATTTATAATTTCATTGCCGATCCAATCACTAGATACCTAGCTAGTAGGAATACACCAGGGATGGATCGAGGTAATCAGCAATGCTGCGCTTTCGTAGATTTATTGACTAACACTAGGGATTGATTCACGTGCATGGAATTCATCAACACGTTAGACTGATGAGTAGTGACCCATCTAGTTGATCAAGGCCAAAACATGAAGCACCAGAACTGTGAGAGAGAGAGAGAGAGAGAGAGAGAGAGAGTAAAAGCTAACAATTAACTGCACCCCGATTTTATTAAGAGAGGCTACATGTAGAAAGTAGACCACCCCTTCCAATCACAGCCCATCATACACACTACACACACGATTGTATGCGTAAAGTACGTACAAGCCTTTATATTAATTAGAAGGGCAGAATCAGAAAACCCGGTGCATGCATTTTCCCCTCGTATCTAAAACCCATTTCCGTGGAACTTGCAGCTCTGGGACATGCCGCACATGGAGGGAAGTTTCTCTGCCTTCTTCATCATCTGTTCCTGCTGCTTCTCTTCTCTCTGGTACTTCTGATGCTGCTGCTGAACCATCTGATGGATTCCCTCGCACATGCAGTCATCCTTCATATTCTCCAGCTCTTCACAGCACTCTTGAGGCACATTTCCTGCGTTGCCTCTCAACAACACCGCACTCTGCCACGACTGCATGTACCGCCTACACTCGTTCAATGGGTGCTTCTGCATCTCTTCACGGCACATCTCAGACTGGCTTTGGTGGTGTTCGATGATGGTGGTGATGACGGTGGTTCTGTAGGTAGAGGCCTCGGCTATGGCCACCAACCCCACCAACAAGGCTACTAAGATAATGGACCTTGCCATTAATCTCTCTGGTCTGATCGCTTCTTTTCTTTAACGCTAGCTAACAAGGTAATTAAGCAACGATGGATATTTGTTTCTTTCTATGACATGAATTAATGGTGAGTGTGGATGGATGGGTGGGTATTTATAAGCGCTACCCTAATTTGCATGTCTGAAGAAGTGGAAGAAATATCAAAGACACGTTGACGATGGGTAAGTATTACTTGCTTTTACACCGCACACGTACACACTGGTTAATGCAAATGGCAGAAACTAGTGCCATGCAATGGCATCTTGTCCTTTTATACAGACATATTGAGCGTACAATAGTGCCATCGATCGATACTGTTGTCTTGCCATAGTGATCGCTCTCGTAAACGGAAACATTCTTTTAGTTAGTTTTTTTCTTTTTTTTTTTTTGGAGGGGGTACTATTTTATATTTTTATTCTAATTGATCAGGTTATGAAGAGAACCTACATTGTCTCTAGACTTTCTGGATTAGTTAAAATGCCTTATCGATTGCTTCTTGGTAGTTGGAGGTCATTTTGCTTTAACTCAGCCATAAAGGTTTCTTTTAGAGCAATAGAAGTGTGGTAATAAAAATCAAAGTAAGAATTAAAAAAAATAAAAAATCTGTAGAAGAGAAAAAGAATATAGAATGTACGGGTCTGGGTTTTACTTTATTTTTAGCTTCTTGAGCTCTATTACAAAATGCTTCTAAGATATAAAAAAGAGTGTTACTTTTACAGTCAGTTCTCAACTCCCAAGACAATCCATTTTATATAAAAGACAAAATATAAAAGAAAATTACAAAATTAGCACCCTTATTTTTCAACACTATTTTTCATTAGAGATCTAAAATCCAAAAATTTTTAAGAACCTAGGGGCTTGGTGAAGACATTAACAAGTTGATTTTTAGTCTTGAGGAACTTTAGTTCAATCTCTCTTTTGATTCTCTCATGAAGTGGTGTCTCAGCTCAATATGCTTTGTTCTTTTATGAAAAGCTAGAGTTTTTGTCATTGCAATAGCTGAAGTATTATCACAGCTAGTAGATTGTAGTTGGGTCATCTTGCACAAATTAAAGGTCTTTCAAAAGTCTTTTAAGCCAAATTGCTTCACAAGATGCACTAGTGGCTGAAATGTGTTCTGCTTCAGTTAAAGAAAGTGCCACAGTATTTTGCCTCTTAGATGACCAAGAGATCATTTTACTTCTCAAAGAAAAAACATATCCAATTGTGCTTTTTCGATCATCTATAGTCCAATCACCGTCTGAAAATCTAACCAGCTTGCAGTCATTTTCACTTTCGTATTTCAGCCCAAAGTTCTTGGTCCCTTTCACATATCTAAGTATTTTCTTTGCTGCCCCAAAATAAACTTTAATTGGTTTGTTCATGTATCTTCAAACGATACTCACAACAAGAACAATATCTAGCCTTGTGTTCATGAGATAGGCCAAGGAACCAACAAGGCTTCTATAGATTGATGCATCTATCAATTCTGCTCCACCCTCCTTTAACAACTTTTCATTGATAGCCATAGGAGTAGTTAGGGGTTTACATGTTGACATATGAAACCTTTCTAACAAATCATCAACATATTCCTCTTGGGACATAAAAATTTCACATTTTCTTTGTTTCACTTGAATCCCAAGAAAGTATCTCATTAACCCCAAATCAATCATCTCATATTCCTTGATCATTGCTAATTTTAATTTATTCAGCAATTTTGGGTTGTTACTTGTATAAATCAAATCATCAACATAAAGACAAAAAAGAATAAAATCATGCATACCTTCCTTGAAATAGAGTAATGGCTCATTTGGACTTTTTTCAAATCCATTCTTACAGAAATATTTATCAATCTTGTTGTTCCATGCCTAGGGTGCTTTTTTTTTAAGCCATACAAAGCTTTTCGAAGCTTGTAGATCTTGTCCTCCTTTCCTTCTATCACATATCCTTGTAATTGTTCAACATAAACTTCTTCTTCTAAATCTCCATTTAGGAGGGCTGATTTCACATCAAATTAAAATACTTGCAATTTTAATTGAGCAACAAGTATAAGCACAACTCTAATTGTTTCCATTCTTGCAACTGATGCAGAAGTACAACAAGTATAAGCACAACTCTAATTGGGCATCACTTCTTCTTCATCTTCTATAACATATTTCTTTGTTTGTGAGAAATTTTCTTCAAAATTTCATGCCCCCTCTTCATCAAATATTACATCTCTTGAAATTATCAACTCATTTGTAATTGGATTCAGCAACTATAACATTTGGATTCATCGCTATTACCAAGTAAGATGCATTTCTCACATTTTCCATCAAACTTCTTTCTCTTTTTTGAGGAAATGTGAGCATAAGCAATGTAGCCACACACTTTAAATGAGCTAACAACAGGCTTTTTTTTGTGTCATACTTTAAAAGGTGTTTTATTTTGCACGGCTTTGGTAGGAGAACAATTTAATATGTGGACAACAGTACTACTTCATCCCATAAATTTTTGAGAATATTTTTACCTTGCATCACGCTTCATGCCATTTCTACAATGGTTCTATTTCTTCTTTTAACTACCTTATTTTGTTGTGGGGTATTTTTTACTGTCAATTCTCTTTTGATGCCTTGTTTTTTACAAAACTTCCCAAATTCTCTCCACATAAACTCTTTTTATCTACCGGTCCTCAAAACTCTTTCCTCTACCAGTCCAAACATATACAAATCAAAGAATCTTCAGGTAAAGAAAAAGGAAATTGAATAGCTTACTTTGGAGACTGGGACTGGCTGAAAATTGCGGTTGTTGTTCAGTTTTTTGGTGTGCTTTTTGGAGTTCTTTTTTCTTCTTGGCTTGGGTGGTCCTTTTTTGGTTTGTGGACTGGTGTTGTATTGGGGATTGGTTTTTGAAGTTTATGGTTCATTGTTGTTTCCTTTTCTAGGTTTGGGGGAGGTTGGTGGTTTGTGTTTTCGTCAGAAGGGTTTGGTTTTTTAGAAGTTCTTGTTATGCTCTTCTCTCGGGTGACTTCTTGTCACCTTTATTGTATTTTCTTTTTTTCCTTATTAAATTTTATTTTTATCTTCAAAAAAAATGAGCTGAGACCAAACGATAGTCTCTCAACTTTGACAGAGTTGCCTACATTAATAAGCGAAAGCACAGTTCTGCTCTAAATGTTATTCACAAAATCAATCTTTTATGATTCTCAGTTTATTATTTATTCTATCCTTGGGTGCTTTCCTTTTCGGTGATCAAACATTCTTGATCAAAGATGTTACTATTATAAGCTGGAATTCATATGTGACATTCATGGATTTGAGCCAATGAACATGAATCTCATTTATGTTCTAATGCTGCAGGAGATGCAATTGAAGAGAAACCATGGAAAAAGAAAATTTTCATATTTTGGGAAGAATATGGAAGTGGGGCTCACAGATCCAGTGGATCCTAACGGGAACTCGGGAAGTCTATTAGGAGATGCTAGATGGTTTTAGTGCTAAGTAGTGTTATACAAATCTACTGTATTCAATAAAAATAAAGTTACAATGTATAGTAACTTTGGGCTTACTATTTATAATATTTTCCATGAATTACTATTTATACTAAAATAGTGCTTTACTTTTCTTTTACTTGTTTATTTAGGTTAGGTTAGAAAATTTTAGAAGTTTTTTTGATATAGACATGTTCATGGGCCAGGTCGAGCTTTGCCTCTACATTAATAGAATATGCTCAGGCCTAAGCCTAAGCCTGGCCTGGCCATGGGGCCTAGGTCTTGAGTCTGAGCTCGGCCCACATATAAAACCCGAGCCCGGCAAGAAATTTGGAAATTTTTTCCTTTTTATTCAATTAAAAACTATTTTATTTATATTAAAAGACCTCAAAACCTAAAAAAATGAAAGATCTCACTATTGAAGAATAATAAAAAATAATATATATATATATATATATATATATATGTGTGTGTGTGGTATTATATAAAGTATATTTTTATTATATAATACATTATCAAGTCGGCCTGGGCTTTTTTGAGAAAGCCTGAGCCCAAGCCCGTGGGCCTAAAATCCTGTTCAAGCCTGACTTAGATTGGACCGGCCCGTTGGGCTACCCGGCCCATGAACAATTCTACTTCGATAATATTTTATGGTTTCACAAAATCATTTCATCATCACTAAGTATCTAACTTTATTAAGGAAAGCCTATGTCTAGCCTATGTCTAGCCTACCATAGCGCTTTCTAAATCTATAGTTAATCTAAACTTATTTAAAGATGGAATTAATATGATTTTTTTGTTGTGACCTCTCTCTCCTCCTCCTCTCCCTCTCTTTGATTTGAGCACAAGCACTGCATACTTCTCCCCTCCACTATGATACCAGGACAGTATCTGATACTGTCTCCAGCCATGTTGCCAATATCAGGGTAAAATAACATTTTTGTACCTTATAGTTTATAGAGCTATTTCGGCTCAGTTTGGAAGAAGTACAAAAGCAAATATGTAGAGTACAAAACCAAGATATTTTGTATTATTTTGTATGCATTTGCATTGTACAGATTTGCATTTGTACACTTTCCAAACTGAGCCTTTCAGGTTGCGTCTTCTTTTAAAGATTGGACATGTAACTTGTTTTTCACTCCTATCTAAAACTTTTATAACTTCATTTTTTCCATAAATCTACCATTTTCTTCTCGAAACATACTAGAAGCATCATAAATTAATTCTCAACCATTTACTAGATCAGCCCATCAGGATTTGATTTATATGACTATCTCCCTTCTCATCCTACATCATGTTCATATGAGATGTATCATCTTAGGCCCCGTTTGGTTTATAGAAATAGGGGTCTGGAATTGGAATTGAAATCCCATTCCCATTCTTGCTGGAATGGCATTCTCCCATTTGAGAGAATGGTCATTCCTTGTCCCTCCCTTAGGAATGAAATCCTATTCATGTTGATTCCAATTCATATTCTCATTCCTGTCTGAACCAAACAGACTATGAGAATAGACCATTCTGATTCCGATTCCGACTTCAAAT